CGACCACTCTAAATTTTTGTCAATTATATTATAATAAAAATTGAAAAAAATAAAATGTAAAAATATTGGGAAATCTGGTGATTTTTTGTCTTATTTTTAAGGGTTTTCCATAGGTATGAAAATACTTCAAAACAAAAGGTTAAAAAATAAAAATTAACAAACCACCCTCTCTTAGTGGTTTAGAACGACACATATTATCTTACAGTTCTGGGGAGCTACTGGCTGACTGCAGTCCTCCTGAGGTCCTAGGGAAGAACTGGCCCCTTGCCCTTTCCATTCTGTAGATGCCACTTGCCGTTCTCCTCTCATGACCCTCCCTCCACCCTCCAGGCCAGCAGTCCAGGGTCTGCAGATCTCTCTCTCCCCCTCTGGCTCACATCACCTTCTCTGAATTAGACCTTCTGCACCCCTCTTTATAAGGACTTGTGATGACATTGGGTTTGCCCAGATGATCAATGCTAACGTCCCAACTCAAGATCCTTTGCTTAAGGGCAAAGTTCCCTTTGCCACGTGAGGTAACATATTTGCAGCTTCTGAGGATTTGCCCTAGACGTCTTGGGTGTTTGTTGTTCTGCCTATGATCTACCTGCTTAATTTATTCAACCAGTATTTGTTGTGCACCTGCAATGAGTCAGGTACCATGTAGGCTGGGGACAGTGTAGAGTCAGGCAAGGCCTGTGACATCCTGGGGTGTTCCTCACTTTTCCAAGTAGGCCCAGAGCAGGCAGATGCCTCAGTAATATGAAAGCAATGTTCCGCATGCTTAACACGCACTCACATGAGTGCCCTGTAACACGTGTCCTCCTTACTGGAAATGATGGGAAATGAGTGCCCTTTCCTAAGTGGGAGGACTTTGTAGGGAAAACACATCTCACTTTCAGTCTCATCAAACAATAGAAAGCAGGGAGACTTTTGGCCCACGAAATCCTCTGCTTCTCAAGATAATCTCAGCTCCCCAGTTGCTGTGGGGACAGTTGGTGACACCAACCAGGTCTGCAAGAGCAGCAGCCAATCCCTTCTGCCAGAAGCCAAGTCTGGCCAACTGCTGGCTTTGCTCTCCCTACTTGCTTGCTGGAGATTGGTGGGCAATCATGTCATTTTCTTGGACTAACCCATGACCACTTGCTAGGCACTATTTTGAGTGACTGCTTTCCAGTTCTACGTTGTATGTAAAGTTTACCAAACTGAAAACTCAGCTGGGGTTGTGGATTATGGGTTGTTTTGTCACCTCATTGTCAGGGGTCTAGTATCCAGAGGTCCCTCTAGTGTCTGTACTCCCTGGATGAGTCTGGACCATGGATGTCTATCTGTCCTGAGACGTGTTTTGTAAGCCTTTCATTTCCATCTGACACCATGTCTTACTTCTTGCTGTTTCTACTAACAGAAACTTCTTTTCTCTAACCATTTTTACTTCTCTTCTAAAAATCGAAGTCGATTTTCTAGCTCAAATTTTTTAATCAGGTAAGATATATGAATTTAAAGCTGTGTATACATAGTCACCCCTTATCTGAGGTTTTTTAACCTACACTTTCAATTTCTGTGGTTTCAGTTTCTCACGATCAACTGCAGTCCAAAAATATTCAATGGACAATTGCAGAAAAAAGTGTGAGTTTCAAGCTACTTGCCTTCTGAGTACATGAAGAAACCTCACACCATTCTCTGTATCTTCCCTGGGATCTAAATCATCCCCTCGTCCGTGCTACAGCATGCTCTGTATGCTACCCATGGTTGAGCCACCTTGTAGCCCCCAGCCATCAGATCCGTGGTTATGGTGTCACCGTCCTTGTGCTCAAATAACCCCTATTTTATGACCAAGGTGCAAGAGTCACGTTGCTGATAACTTGGATATGCCAAAGAGCAGCCATAAAGCCCTTCCTTTAAATGAAAATGGAAAAGTGTTTGATTTGATAAGGAAGAAAAAATCATATGCTGAGGTTGCTAAGATGCACAGTAAGAATCAATTCTTCTGTTAAATTGTGAACAAGAGAAATTCATGCTAGGATTCTGTTGTACCTCAAAGTGCAAAAGTTACAGCCACAGTGCATGATGAGAGCTTAGCTAAGATGGAAGGCATTAAATCTTTGTATGTATGTATAAAAAACAGTATAAAGGATTCAGTACCCATATAGTATATAGGATTCAGTACCATCTGTGGCTTCAGGCATCCCCCAGGGGTCTTGGAACTCATCCTCAATGGAGAAGGGGGGGACCATTGTTTTATTCTATTTATGTGGTTGATTCAATTTGCTAATATTTTAATGATAAATTTTGTGCCTGTGCTTATGATGGATATCAGTCCGTGGTTTTATTTCCCATACTGCTTTCTTTTTGGTCTGATTTTGGCATCAGGTTTGTGCTAGTTTTATAAAATGAGTTAGGAAGTATTTCACCCTTTTGTCTTGTCTGGAGGAGATGTAGAATTAGTATGACTTCTTCCTTCAGTATTTGGAAAGATTTTCCAGTAACAACATTTGGACCTGGAATTTTCTTTGTTGGGAAATTTTAGCTGTGAATTCAGTTTCTTCAAATGGAAATGGAACTATTATCTATATTTCACTGTTGTTATTTGGAGTGTTCTACAAATGTCAATTAGATCAAGCTGTTTCATAGTGTTGCTTGAATCCTTTATGGCCTTGCTATTTCCTGCTTGTTCTATTGATCACAAAGAGAGACCACTGACGTGTTCAAATATTTTGGTTTAGTTTTTGTTTCTGTTCTATCATCTTTTGTTTCATGTATTTTGAAGTTTGCTTTGGAGTCAATGCACAATTAAACTTTTTATGTCTTTTGTGCTTTGACCCATTTCTAACCCCGTCATTTCCCTCATTTTGACTGGCAATTCTCCTTGTTCCAAAGTCTACTTTTCTAAACTCAAGCACTCCTGCTGGTTTTCCTTTATTCATGTTTGCCTGCTACATATTTTTCTTACTCTTACTTTTAACCTATCTACACTGAATTTAATGTGGGCTTATTAGAAAGAGCATAGAGATGGGTCTTTTAAAAATTTAAACTAGATTTATAGTTCTTTTTCTCAGCATTTAAACAACATTGAAATATTGTTCCAGTATCACCTGGCCAGTTTCTAATGAGAAGTTCATAATCATACAAATCATTTTGTCACTGTATGTAATGTGCTGATTTTCACCTTCTTGATATTTTTTTCTTTAAACTTGGTTTTCATCAACTTGATTATGACGTGTCTGAGGTTGATTTTCTTTGAATCTGTTCTCTTTAGAGTTCATTGACCTTCTAGAATCTGTAAATTAATGTCTTTCACCACGTTTGGGTAGTCTTCAATTATTATTTCTTTAAACATACTTTTGTTTCTTTGATGAGAACTTCTAATTTTTTCTATTAATTTCCAGAGTTGTTTTCCCTCAATTTACAGAACATGGTTATAATAGTTACTTTAGAGTAGTTAGTGTGTCTGGGTCATTTTGGGGTTGGCACCTGTTGATATTTACTCTGAGACTTGGTGAGGTTTTCCTAGATTATCTTACGTCTAGTAATTTTGGATTATATTTTGGATATTTTGAGTGTTATACATGAGGTGCTATTAAAACCTTCCGGACAACTTTATTTTAAAACAGGCAAACTTGTTTTGCTAGTTATCTTTAGACTGAAAGTCCTCACCCACGTTCTGTGGACTGTGAGTCCAATTTCAGTTTAATTTTGAAAGTACTGGTAGTACTATTTGGGTCTGCTCTGTGTGGGAACCACCTGGGGGTCCAAAACTGTGAAAGTGTCTGTGATGTATTTTGATTCTCAAAGGTTTTGATATATTACTTGCAGTTAATTTTTAGGCATGTGGGTTTTACAGATGAGCCCAGGATTTTGACATAGATTTAGGAGCTCCCTTTATCCTCTCCTCACCATGATTTTCCCTTCCCTCTCCATTTCCCAGTTCTCACTTCTCCTGGTCTTTCACCTTGACACTCGAGGTTTCGTCCTCCTTGTTGTCTGTGTCAGGCTGAAGCAGCATCAATAGAAAACAAAAGAGAGGAAAGTAACAGGCATTCTCTACCCTTTTTGGCCCACAGAGGCCCATTCTTCTAGGTCCTCTTATCAGAGAGAAGGATTTTCTTTGGGTGTGTCTGTGGTCACCAGAGCTGCCACCATATTAGCAATTTAGCCTCGGTCCAGATTTTTCTTCCATAAATTCATCTCTTGCTTCACTCTGGACAGGGACACAGGGAAGGTTTCTCCTGGAGCATCTGCTGTCCATGCTGATTGTGAAGTTCTGGGAACTGGCCTGTCCTGGAGTGTAAGCCAGGAAACACGGGAGGGGAAAGTAGAAAGCTCCTGGCCATGTTAGCTGTGCTTTGGTTTTGATTTCCCTCCTCCATTTGCTTGCCACAGTTTTTTAAGAGTGCTCCTGTTTGAATTATGATTCTGTCCAGGGTTTTTAGTTCTAACAAGTGAGAGAAGTGGGGTGGCGTGTGCTTACTTCATCTTAGCCAGAGCCAGTAGCTGAAAGACTTACTTTTCTTTCAGCCACCTAAAAGGAAGAAAAGCCAGCCTCCATGGCTTGAGTACAGGGAATAGGTAAAACAGGAAGACAAGGACCTAAGCCTTAACACTTGGGCAGGATTTAGGAAAGGGGGCCTGTCAATTTGACTAGAGATTCTTTCTGGATCTGTGCACACATACAGGGTGCTGTGAATGTTTGGTGCCTTTCAGCAAAGCACCAAAGCCTGTGGGGTGAAGCTCCCAGAAATGTCTATTTCTCTGACTCATCACTCTGCATTATCTTTCAGTGTCTGAAAAACAACTATTAAAAAAGGTCACAGCTGTGGATAAACTAGATCATGAGCAAGGCTTTGAAATTGAGATGATGCACTTTGATTTAATATCAAGTGGAAAAAATAGAAGATCAGAGAAAGACGATTGCAGTTGTATCTTATGTATCCTGCAATTGAAACTGGGTAAACAGTAGACAAAATGGACATGATTGTATGGAAATTAAAATGGTCGTGTCAGGGAGAATGAAGCACAAGAAATGATGTGTGTCCTACTGTTTTATTTTAAAAACTCTTAATGTGGCTCTACTATCTTTTCAAATGTAGCAATCTGTAAGAAAATTTCCTCTTCTGTCACCTTCTTTTATTTTGGTTGCTTATTTGGGAAGATTTTTTGCTTCTCACCTGTCACCCCAACCACTCCTGTCACATGTTCCTATATCATTGTCCCCTCCCCAAGTCCTGAGGGTTTCTTACTAACAATCCTTTGATTCTCCACCTTCTTTGTCAGACACGAGCGTGTGCAGGCGAGGGCAGGGCATCACCTTGCATATGCAGCGTCAGTGCCCAGCTAGTGCCTGGTGCATGGTAGGTGACTGATAATATTTATTGACTGTCCCAGGTCTCCAAGGGAGTGACAACAGGCTAAAGTAAAGATTCCTAGTTGACACTTTATTTGGCTCTGTTTAGTCTCACATGCTTTTTGTACCCACACTTCATTTCCTCTCCATGTTGACAAATGCTGCCCAAATTATCCAGCCAGTCAGCAATCAGCCAAAGGAGAGGACCGGGTGCAAGAATGCTTTACCAGGAAGAAGGATCAGAACTCGGGTTTGGCTGACACGTCCTTTGTTGTGAATGGTCAGAGGAGACCGAGGGCTTGGTGGAGCTGCTAGATCCAGAGTCTTTCTTCTCTGGCCCCAGACATGCTGTGACACTCTAAATCCAAACATATGGGTCTAATTCAAGAACACTGTCACTTATGAAATTTGTCATTTGCACTTTGGTTCATTTTGGAGGTGAGCATATGGAGTCAGCCAAATCATAAGGTCAGCGTGACAATGATGGGCTGTAGGTTGTTGCAGCTACACGATCCTGGCACGTTGGAAGGGCACACAGGCATGTCTACTCCAAATACCTTTCTAAAACTGTCACTTAGATTTCCTTAACAGCAGCCGAGTCTCCACCCAGCCTTTGTTGAGCACCTGGAGTGATGGTGGGCTCACTGTTTTTCAAGGCAGCTCAGTACATCTTCAGATGAATCCCTTTAGACTTGGCCAACACGGCCACAGGAGCTGATGTCTCGCTCCTGCACCTGAACTGGATGCCATCTGTCAGCCACAGTGTTGTTTCCCATCAGCCAAGGTCGAGGCTCAGATCATTCTCAATGCTGTGTTTTAACACAGAGTTAGTCCCTGCCCCAGGTACTGTGAAGTGCTTTCTTACCCCTGCTTCTCCAGGCCTTCCTCACGTTGACCTTCTTTATGGCCCCTGTAACAATCCCAGCTGAAGACAGCCTCAGACCTGGCCCAGGGAAACAGTCTGGGAAAGGCAGACGCTTCAGGGTGGTGCATTGGGGTTAGGCGCTCCTAAGTCTGAGGCCCACAGGCAGAGCCAAAGGTTGGTAACAGGCGTTTGTTAGGAGGTACAAAGAGTTGCCATGAATGCTGAAAGACTACATCCAGGACCAAAGCCAAGGATCACCAAGCTCCAGGATCCAGGCAGAGGGCGGGGCAAGGCTACTTGAGGGAGCGGGGAGTAGGACCCAGCCTGTGACTTCTGCTCCAATGAGTCCTTCATCAGACTGGATGTTTTTCTTTTGAGACAGAATTTTGATATCATTTTCCCAATTTTCAATACTGGGCTAAGTCAGGAAGAAGGCAGGCTACTAAGCTGTGAGAAGAAGGTTGGGTCTTCCAAACCATGAGATGACTTCAAGAGTCTGAGGGGTTCAGCTGTGAATACCGGGTGTCGTGCTGGAGGATCACAGGCTGATTCTCGTAATGTAAGAGGTGCACGGCTTCAGCCAGGTGCAAGCCCTCCAGGTGTGGAGATGTACGTTTTCCTGAAATGGGGAGGTCCACTTAGACAGCTCTGTCTTTGACACCATTGTCCAGCGTGGAGGAGGAGTCCGGTCCTGGCCCTCCGTTTGCCTTCTCAGCCACGGCCGTGTCCCCTGTCTCCTCTGGTGGACTCGCCTTGTTTCTCTTGGCAAATTCCTGGCTGATTTCCGCGTGGGTTCTGTTCTTAGTCTCGGGCAGAACAAAATAGAAGTAGAGGGCACCTATGACACATATTGCAGCAAAGACTAGGAAACAGTAGGTGTCCAGACTTCTCTGTGGAAAGACAGAGGGAAAAGATCAGATGAGCTATCAGTGAACTACGTGGCTGTAAAACCGTCTCTGGGAGGATGCTCCATTTCACGATTCCCACTCAAATGTCAGTATTCCTGGACACAACATTGCATGCGAAGCTGGCCCTGTGAGGCAAGGGGCTGTGTTGCTGTGTTCCCAAAGGAAGCATGAATAAACCAGCTCCCTGCTCTGGTAAAGATGAAGAAATGTCAGGCTTTATTTACTTTTTGCAAATTAGGCATTTGAAAATGAATCACCAGAAAGCAAAATGTAATGCTGAATATTATCTTAAATTTATAGTTGCCGTTATTCACATTCTCTCTCCTCTTCTGCTATGCACATGAGACACAGGTAAGCCAAACATGAAGAGAAATGTCCCAGCTCATAAGAAAAATATGGGTCATAGTTTAGCCAAGAAAAATATCATTTTTTTCTAATATGCAAAAAGATCTAACACACTGATTAGTATGCTGACAGTCTTGCACAAATAGGGGAGACCAGGAGTGAGAAATATTGGAGGCAGCCATATCTTATGTGTCCTAATTACCGATTGGATTAGACCTTGAGTTTTACAGTGACATGGTCACCTCTGTGGCTCCTGGTGTCTGTGCAGTGAAAGACTTTCTGGTTCTAGGTGTCAGGGATGTGACTCTTTCATGCAACACCATCTACTGATCCAAAGAAAAGTGACACTGTCTTAGGATGCATCACAGAAAGCAATATCTAAAGTTCAGTCCATTTCATTTAGTTCTTTTGATTTGAAAAACATTTCTTGTCAGAGCCTAGCATGATGCTGAAGAGCCTGACCTCTAGCTTGCATTCCAGATCCAGACAAAGAGTCTGACTCTTCCCCTCCATTTCATGGTTGTAAGATGAGCATAATGGTGCTGGGTGTGGTGGCATACCCCTGCCATCTGGGTGCCTTGGAGGCTGAGGCAGGAGGATTGCATGTTTGAGGCCAGCCAGTCCTTCTCACTCTTCCATTCAAAACCCACCATGATGTCCTAAGTCGCTCTGTGTCAAGCCAAAGTTCTTGCCATGGCCTCCAGGCCTACTCACCCTGAGCCCCTTCCTTCTCTGACCTCCCTCTTCTTGCTTTCTCCTGGCCCCTGTGATTTTCCTTAGGCATCTGGCTCTCTGCCCTTGCCGGCCCTCTTCTTGGAATACTCTTTGCGACAGCTGCTCCTCCTGCTTTCCCACTTTCCTTTCATCTCAGCTTAAAGGTCTCTCCGGCTCCCATATCTAAAGGGCCCCTCCCAGCTCGGATCCATGCTCGGCACTATCGTAGGGAACCCCTGTTCATCAGCCCTCTCCCCACAGGAGGCAAGCTTCCTAGGGCAGGCTCCGACACTTTCTTGTATCCCAGAACCCAAGGGTGGTTGACAGCACAGCAGAGCCTCAGTAGACATTTACTGAATTCACAATGGGCTGGGATTCAGAGGGGCTCCCAGGCCACCCGTGGGGATGTGTGAGCCCTCTCTGCCACCTACAGAGCTGCTGCCTGTTGGACTTCATTTCCCAAGACACCTGATGGGCATTGCTCAGGTCCTTCTGTTTCCCAGGATTTAGTCAAGAACCCACGACTGTTGCAGCCATCCTGGGAAGGAAAGGACGCTTGTCCCCCCTCAGCAGCCTCCAGGGTGAAGATGTGGGGAAACCAGGGTCTGGCTGAGAGCAGAGGGTGAGGCTGGTGACAGAGCAGCCAGGGTCTGGGACGGCTTGCTGAGCGGGGCCTTGCTGGCCCCCACATTCCGCCCAACCCTGGGGTGCAGGTGCTGTTCTACAGATGGGGACCCTAAGAGGGCTGAAGACATTGGTCTGGGTTTTTCTGGGGGAGGGGGTGGGAGGTGGGAAACTGTGCAGCAAAATTGATATTTCAATCTGGCCACCTGACCCCGGAGCCTGTGTTTGCCACACTGTGCTCAATGCTTGGAAAGGAAGGTCACGTGAGAAGACAAGCAGAGGCCTGGCCACAGACAGCTGGAGAAAGAAACCTCAGCCTTTAGCTCCTGCAAGCCTGGAGGTGAGAGAGAAGGTCAGGGCCAGGGCTGGGCAGGACAGGAAGGGCGATGTGGACAGAAGGAGCAAGACTCTCTATGGGGCTGACCCCAAGCCTTCCCAGCTAGGAGTTGGAAGTCACCTAGATCTGGAAGATGAAGGACATTTGATGGTATCTGTTTGCTAGAAATGATTTTGGGCCCATGATCAGGCAACAGCCTAGTATGCTGCAAGTAGCGATTGCACATGATCCGAGAAGAGAAATGCACTTTTAAGCACCTACTGCGCGCCAGCGATATTACAGACATTACATGGTGTGATCCCCATGGCCACGCTGGACCCAGCTGTTAATTTCCTTTTTACAAAAGATGAAATTGGGGATTACAGGGTGCTGCTGAAACATATCCAAGGCCACAGAGGAATGAGTGGACAGCTGGGGCCGGGTCAGCCTGGCTGGTGGCTCTCACTCTCTGTGGGTTCTACCCCCACTCCCTCCCTGGCATACATGGGGGGGCAGCCAAAGGGTGCTGGGTCCCACAGGGCTCCCCCATTGCACCTGTGAGGCAGGGCTCTGGCACCTTCTCTCACAGACCATGTGCCAGAGGTGGCCAGCTGTGAGGGTTGCATCTGGATTCGAACCCAGGTGGGCGACCAGAAGCCACAGTCTTGCTTCTGTACCTGCCTCTCCTGTCCATGCACACTCAGCAGAGGCCACCATGAAAAGGGCCCCCACAGAGGGCATGTGTGCTACTCTCTTCCTGCCGCCTCCTCCTCCACCCCAAAGGGGCTCAGCAACCTGCGTGTGCCCAGGGGCTTCAGAGCGAGCCAGTCTCTCCTGGGCTACTGTTGGAGGGAGGATCTACCCAGTGTCTCCAGCAAGTGGTTTTTAGATAGCACTTCTGGAGTGGGCAGGATCCTGCCTCCCCACCACCAGACCTTGATTCTATATCTACCTCCACCAAAAAGTCGACCTATCATGTGACCTGGAAGCACCCCCACTATTGGGCCTTCTGTTGCCCAAGAGCACATGGGCACAATCCCATTGGAGGATTTCTGTAAAAACACTTTCACAATTTAAAAAGTATAACCCATCCTGAAAGTAATTGATCAATTTGGCTACTTAAAAATTAAGGACAGGGGCTGGGGTTGTGGCTTACTGGTAGAGCGCTTGCCTGGCACCTGTGAAACACTGGGTTCGAGCCTCAGGGTCCCATAAAAATAAATAAATAAATAAAGGTAAAAAAATTTCTTAAGAAAAATTAAGGACATCTTTTCAAAAGGCACCAGACAGTGAATACCTGAGTCACAAATAGGGAAGAGATACAGTAACGTCTCCAGCATGAACTGAAAACAAAGCAGCAATCTGTACAAGGTGAGTGAACTTCAAATGGAATTTTACCTGAATCAGCTTCAAGTGGAATTTTACCAGCGTGGGTTAGTTGAGGACGTTCTGGAGGTCAGAGCTGACCCCTGAAGGCCTGGGGACCTCCTGGGAGCTCCCAAGACAACTGAGGCAGTGGGAAAGTGATAGACATGTAGAACCGCTGGGGTGGCCGCTTGGTCCTCCCGCCAAGGCGAAATCTCTTTCCCATTCTCCCTTCCCCTCTTACATAAAAACTATTACTGTAGTTCTTTTACTTCTGCTGAAAAAATATCTTTTATATTATTAGAAACGGTCATGAAATGTTCCATATTCTCTGATTATAAGAAGAACATTTCTTTTCAAAATAGGGTATAATGTCAAATTATGCTAAAAATAAAAGGCAATTTTGGCAAAGTTCCTGGATATTAAAGACAAATCTCAGCTTTTTTCTACTCCCTTTCATCTGAATTGCGTGAAAATGTAACAACTTCCACGAAGAAGAAAAATAGATGAGAAATGCATGCTGGGAATGTCGCCAGGCGCTCCCACAAATTAGACCCCGGGTTCCTCTATAGATCCGTGGTGTTGGGTGGGCCCAGGGGAGGGGCGTGGGCATTGCCCAGAAACCTGGTCACAGAAAACCAATTTCTCTAGAGGTAACTAAATAATAACCTCATGTGATTCTGGGTAAAATTTAGCAGTAGCCATTGAATCGGTTTGTCAAGAACAAGGAAGTGTTCTGCGTCAATGGCCCACTGTTTGTGGCTGTCACAACCTGGCAGAGAGCTCCCTGGGGCCGGGGGCACATGTCAGTCCTCCCGGGTCTCCAGAGCTCACCACGACACTTGGGGGTGAATTGCTCTTGTTTTAGACAAGAACAATAAGAAGGGGAACGTTTATTTTAGGGCTCACTGCTTCAGAGGCCTCAGTCCACAGGTGGCCTACTCTGTTCTTTAGGACCTGAGGTGACGCAGATCAGGGCAGAGGTGTGTGGCCGAGGAAGGCAGCTGAGAACATGGCACCAGGAGCGGGGAAAGAGAAAGAGAGAGAGAGAGAGAGAGAGTGAGTCAGGGACAAAATATACACTCCCAAAGCACACCTCCTGTGGCCCACCTCCTCCAGCCACAGGCCCCCTGCCTACAGTTTCCATCAAGTTAATCCTTATTGACTGGGTGGAGGCACTGATCGGGTTAAGGCTCATTTCACCTTTAAACCCTCTTGCCTTGTCTCACACATGGGTTTTTGGGGACACCTCACATTTAAGCCTTCACAACTCTGGCGCGAGTTCCTGGTAGTGTGTCCCAGCCATTCCAGTAACTGCCATCTGGGGCTCTGCACAAGGTAGAGGACAGTGATGGGGATGGAGTCTGCCAACGGGAACCTGAAAGTCACCTTCGATAGCCACGTGGGGCCTCCTCCTCAAGTCCTTTCTTTAATTGCCCCCTGGTCTAGCCTCTCATGGCTTCATGTCCACTCTGGAAGTCTAGCCCGGGGGTGGGCCAAGGTTCTGTGCAGGCCACATGGTCTTGGTCAGGGCCACACGGCCCTGCCCTCGTGGTGTGAGAACGACCACAGACACTGGCACTAGGGTGACGACGGTAGAAGGCTCCATCTCAATAGA